ATATTAACAAAGGGAGAACATTTTGCTGAAACCTTCCGACTTAGGAGAAGTTGTTAAGAGAACCCATTACAGAACATTATTCCAGAAAACATTCTCACAATGCTGCATGAAGAGAGGAGAAGGTTCTCCATGCAACATTTGGAAAATGTTTAAGGAACACGTAAAGAATGTCTTTGCATGAACTTTATACTTTCTTTCAAAAGAGCATTCTGAGATTTAAAAAAAAAACAAAACATCCCACTGAAAACATCACCAGAACGTTCTCAGAATGTTTTTAGAGAAGAAATCCTGGCTGGTTCCTTCGATATTCTGAGTTTCTGTGAATTCAAACAGGAGCTAACGAGTCAAAAACTGTGATTTATTAACAAAAGTGGAACATTTTGTCCCAGTAATGTGACAGATTAACAAAACACTTGGCCTGCGGTTCTTCTATAAAACCTTCCCACAACATTTCATGATAACAATCGTTTTAAGTTTCCTGGCTTTAGGAAGAACAATCTGGGAACTAAAGGAAAGGTTCTCGCCAAAAACATCACCAGAACTTTACAGAACTGTCTCAGAACATTTTTAGAACATCATATTAATGCACGTTGTCCTACATCACTTGCAAATTGCACAAAATTCAAAACTGTGGATGGTAAACACAACGTTCATGGTAGCGTCTCAACATGAAGTAAACTCGACCGTAGCAACCTGAGAAGGTTGTTTGCATGACCAAAGATGTCAAGGAGACACCTGGATGGAGCCACGGCTGTAAAACACACCAGAGGAGTCGGTGGAAAACAAAAAGGTGTTTCTGGACTCTTAAAAATCCCAGTTGAGGAACTTAAGGCCTGAAGTAGAACCTCAAACCGTAAAGAACGAGTGATGTCATGCAGCAGTCGGTCAAACAATGAAGTGAGACAATCTCACACGAGTCCAACATTTAAGTCCACTGACGGCCTGAATAACACGAAACTAAGAGTTTTAATGTCTGGAGAGAACTACGTGAGATCGCTGCACTGTACAAAAAAAATACAAATTAAAAAAAAGTTCTCTAACTGTTTTTAACTTTTGTTTTTTTTTTGTTTTTTTTTTTTAACAATTTACAATTATTTGACATTTTTAAACAATTTTTACCATAAAATTGCACTATTTCTACTGAGTCTAAATCATCAAAAACACTGTGTTACAGATACTGAAAATAAAGGATTTAAAAATAGTTTTTAAAAATTAAATTATTTATTTATTTAAAAAGCATATGTTATTTTACTGCATGTCCCCATTTTAGTAAATACAAATAATTTTTAATAAAATCATGAGGAAAAAAGTGTTGATTTAAATGTTGATTCACAAAAAAAAAAACAACGTCAACCTGCAAATAATGTCTACTTTTTAAAAAAAAAAAGTATTTTTGATAACAATAATAAGTAATTAATTCTTTTACAGTGTGTGACTCTAAATGAATGTTTGAGTGAATTTAAAACCGCTGAAAATGTCCTTATTATACAAACATTTATTTGCAGTTACTGAATGTTACAGTATTCCAGGATTTTTTTTATTTTGTATTTTGTATTTTTATTTTTAGCACCATTGCTGCCAGATCTTTGCATGTTTGTTTTTTTTGTTTGTTTTTTTTTTTAACTCTTTTTGTTTGTTTGTTTTTACAGTGTGGATTGTAATAAATAATAAAAAAAAATGTAAGTGAAAAAGAAATTAAAATGTGGTACTTATTAAATACTTGGGCACAACAAACATGTTAAAGAGAAGACACAAGCAGCAAATTAAAAAGAAAATTACTAAATAAAACAAAGAAAATCTACATGTAAATACAAATAAATAAATCATTCCTTGAACCCTGTGGCATTTTTGGTACTTTCATTATAATAATTATCTTTTTTAGCTGTTGTTTATTTATTAGCGTATTGAAATCCTGTATTTCACATCTAGTATCTGTCACCACTGTTTGCTCCTCTGGTGTTTCTTCTCTCTGTCTGCTCTGACTGGTTCTCTGCTATAACATTGTCTTCCTGAGTTTCTTCTTTTTACTCTAGTCTGGAGATGTTTGTTTTTGCTCTTATTTCCCCTCCATTTGTCTTGCAGACATCCCAGCATCGTGTGTTCAGAGTAAATACTCCCAAACAGGTGAGAAAATGTTGGCTAAGATGATTTTTACACCTCTGAGCACAAATAGCTGCTGTTTTCCTCCCACGGCGAGCGATGTTATTCTATATTTCACTGAGTGGGAGGTATGTGGAGGAGCGTTCACTAAAACACGGAGCAGCACCTATGCAAACAGCCTCTCAGACGCACACAACCGTCCATTAAAGTTGACCTTTCGGATGCTGCTGGTGGTGGCATAGTTGTGCAGCCCGTCTCCATAGCAACAAGGCCTCAGTGAGTCAGCCTATAGTGTTTTGTTTTTTTTTTTGTGGTTTTAAATGTAAAGAACAATCAGGAGTTGTTGTGTAACAAGTTCCAAAGAATGGTAGAGTCATTGCGGCTCATCAGCAGAGACTTGTGGACTTGTGGGCGACGGTAATTGTGATGGGAGGGGAAGGGGAACGCCGTTAATCGTTACCCAAGCCCACCCACTCCTCCCCAGAGGACCCCAACCGCCCGGCGTAGATGCTATCTGCCTTTAAGCACACATAAACACATCCTCTCCTGCTTCCCAGACTCCCCCTCAAGCGCTTCATTGCAGATTCCATCAACCTGCAACCTAAAGCTGCACATTTGAGTCTGCAGGTGAACGTTCTGCTGCCGCCGCCACCGCTGGAGGAAATCCAGACTAAAAATAGTCGATCACTGTTTGACCATACGCTGATTGAGCAATAGGGTCTTTAAAAAAAACACACACAACGGAGGAGCAGCTCACATATGGTAGATTGATATCCTGTGGTTTCTTGGAAGAGGCGATAGGAATCAGTGACAGCACACAGAAATACAGAAAAGTAACAGGGGGGGAGGAAGATGCACTGTAAAAACTGAAGCTGGGAAATCATTTAGATTGTTTTTTTAAACTATGAAGATATAGCAACAAGTGGGCCGGAATGCAAAACTGCTAAACTAATGGCAAATTTAAACAAGCTGTAGATTTAATAAAATAGTTTGTGTTCACACAATGTCAAAAAAAACAACTAATAACTATTCATAAAAAATAGAACTTTTTTTTGCAGTCAATATGTAAATCAATAATCAGATTTTACTAGATATTACCTGTATTGCCAAAAACAAAATAAAAATAAAAATTGTCCTAAATAAATATAATATAAGTGTTTTTATTTCAAATAATGGCAAATATCTGGATTTTTTTTTTATTTATTTATTTGCTCATTCAAATGCAGTAAAATAATATGTTTCATGTATCATTTACAGTTCTGGTCTGTTTTTAATGGTCATCATAAAAATGTATACTTTCTTATCTGTAATTGAGCAAAACAGAAAAATTCTTTACAAATAGCTGTTAAACAAAACTATTTATCAGGTTGAAGCCATTTAATATAGACACATTTTCTTTAGAATAAGAGCAAATAAGTGAAATGTCTGTCTTATTTATTTATTTTCAGATTTCAAAACAGTAGAAAGTATGCAATTTTACAGTCAAATGTTGTAAAAGGCCTGTTTTCTTATGCTTATTATGTAAATGAATCCTTATTTCTGTGATTTTGCTCGATATATTGTGTGTAATTTAACCAAGCTGGGAAAAAAATCTGTAAAATAACAACAACAACAACAAAATCAACATTTTTCAATCCTAAATATATATTTTTGTCTTGCAAATATCTTTCAAATAACAGAAATGTTGTTCTGATTTAAATGCGGCTAAAAAGTAGTTTAAATTCACGATAAAAGAACAAATTTCCATTCATGAAAATATAGATTTTTGATGGAAATATAACTCACAGTTGACGTTTTTCATGTTTGTCATGTAAAACTTTTCTGCTATTTAATCAAACAGGTCAAATCTGCATATTAACAGTAAATTTTTTATCATTATTATTTTACAGTGTGGCAGTGGGTTTATGTGCAAGTGTGAGTAGAAGCCATAGGAAGTGTTGCAAAACATTTCCATTTCAGCAAGTCATGTAGCTGGTACTTTAGCATTTTAGGTCTGAACATGAGATGATGCAACTTATTTTGCACCAAGAATAGCTTTCAAACCAGGCAGAAGAAACTTTAAAAACTCAGAGCTAAGAAACTTTTCCTGAGAGCGAATGAGGCAGGAAAGGACGGAGCAGCATCACCGGTGTTCATTAAAACCCTGCTTTATGCAAACTGAGAAACAAGGACAGGTACTGAGGGAGGCGACCTCAGACAGGTGAAGCCCAGAGATCAGCATTTATATCTTTGTCTCTCTGCTTTCCTTCATGTGGCACATCTGCTCTGCCATCCCATCTCTCACCAGGCTCTCCGGAGAATCGAGCCACTGGCCTCGATCTTGCCTGATACCAAACAAGCTCTGGCCCACTTTATCCCCTCCCCTGATCTAAAATAAGAGCTCGGCGGCGTTTGGAGCCAAAAAGAAAGATCAGAGTTGTCCTGTCAGAAATGAGCATGAACCAGAAATCACAGGCCGCCGCTGCTGAGTCAGTCATGAGACACAGAAAAAAACAAGGCTGATAAACGCTCAGGTTGGAGGTCAGAGAGTGAAAAACAGCCAAAAAAGAAGTAATTATTAACAAGCAAAATGTCAAGGACGTCTTTTTTTTTACCCCCCTCCACTGCTGCTACAAAAAGAACAAGATAATGAGTTTTGTGTCAATGTCACATTGCTGGAGGTCAAGATGAGAAAGCGAAGGCGCTAATCTCATGAGGAAACAGACAGGAGGGGAAATGTCATCAGAATTTCTCAACAGTTTGCAGCTCTGCATTAGAAAACACTGCCAAAGCCAGACAGAACAAAAACTGGTGACTTTCTACAACAATCCTTCTCCTGGAGTAACTGTTTGCTTGAAATGCAGCATTTAAAGTGTACATTGAAGCTAAAAGTGAGATTTTTCTCGACACCGTCTGCTCACCATCTCCACCTGCCGGGGGTCCAGGTTGGTGGGCGCTGAGGCCGGCACCGCAAAGTGGATCTTCTTCCTCTCCTTGGTCTCCCCCTCGACCTCGGTGGGCTCCATGGTTGTGGGTCCTGGCGGGCGGGGGGGGGGTTCTGACTCCCAGCGGAGAGGAGGAGGAGGAAGCTGCTGAAAGTCTCTATAACCTCCCTGGAGGAACCTCCCACTGCTGGGTAGTCCCACTCCTGAAGCCTCTATCTGCTGCCTTCACACCCTGAGTTCTTGGCTTCTGTCTGGGAAAAAACCTACAAAAAGACAACTCCTGATGTTCTCCTCTAGATCTCAGGTTCTCGTTCTCTTCTGGGGTTTTTTTTTGTTGCACTCCCTTTAATAAGTGTGCAGCCGGAGTGAATGAGGCATGTCCTCAGATCTGGCTGTGAGGGAGAGAAGTGGGTGGAGGCTTCAGGAGGGGGAGGAGATATGAAGGGGTGAGGGAGGAGCTGGAGCGAATAGGGGAGGATGCAAGGAAAGGATGGAGATGGATGGAGTAGGGGTGGGGCTGTGTTTTCCTACCTATCTAAGCTGAAGTTGATTTGTAATCAGAGAAAAAAAAAAAAAATCATAATCTCATCACATCAGCTGAGCCTCTTTTGGCCTCTATTTGTGAATGAGAGATTTGTGCAGAGGGAGGAGGAGGCAGATAAACAAGAGCAGAGATGTTTGCAGTGAAGGGGGATGTACATGAGCTCAGCTCACGCTACTGACCCCGCTGCACTGTAAAAAATCAGCATTCAAATATGCAGATAAACAGTTGGAATCTTTTTTTTCATCAAGTTACTGTCATCTGGGGATTTTACCTGTTTTGTTAAATCGCAGATATTACGTGATAAGGAAAAAATAATTAATTTACTTGTTCACTGTATGAATAGATAAATAAATAATGTCAACATCAAAAATATGTGTATTTTTATACATGATCATTTGCTCCTTTACAATTTTTGGCAGTAAAACTACACTATTTTTTAAAAATATATTTAAATGAGAAAAAACATTACTTTATTAAAAATATATTTATATATTATTTTACATATTTTTCCTGATTTCTTGAATTAAAGATATCTTTTAAATCACAGGAAAAAAAATCATATGTTGATTTAAATAAATAAATACATTCACATCAAAAATGTATATTTTTTACACATGGTAGTTAGTTCTTTAATGTTTTGTCTGTATTTAAATATGCAAACATTTAAAAGAAAAAAAAGATTTTATGTTATTTGAAAGAAAATGTATCCTATATATTAAGACAAAAAATATATGTTTTTTTTTATTTTATGGATTTTCCCTGTATTGTTGAGCTGCAGGTTATATCATTGATAATGTTCTAAAAACAACAACAACAACAACAACAACAACAATAATAATAATAATGATAATTAGGCTGTAAAACTGTTTTTTCCGCATATGAATCATAAAAATAAAATATTACAATGGGTGACCATAAAATTACAATTTTACTGTATTTCAATTAGCTTTGCTGTTGTTTATTTATTTTATTTTATTACTTTAAAAAATTAATGTTACAGTGTTTCAACTTACTTTTTTTTACATCCTTGCTGCCAGATTTTTTATTTATTTATTTATTTATTTTATTTTCTGTATTTTTTGTTTTACAGTGTAGTTTTTAGGTGCCGTGCATGGTGACATAAGTAGCTCTTGGTGTTGTTGTAGTCACCGCCATCATCATCATCATCATCATCATCATCATCATCATCATCATCATCATCATCATCATCATCATCATCATCAGAGTGTCTATCTTTTTCAAATCTAACTTCCAAACAAGAGACTGATGACAAAGAGGTTGGACAAAGTTGTCGGCAGCTTTAAACAAAAGGAGGAAGCGTCTGAAATAGGACATGAGGCTCTCAGCAGAAAGAAGGACGGCGGGCACGAAGGTTCTGAAGGAGGCAGATTGTTGATGGCGACATAAAGCGAACGGAGCGAGAGAAGGGCAGTTTCAGTGCTATTTTCAGGGCCTCGCTGTTATTTCACTCACATGGCAGAGGGATTTGGACAGTGGAGAGCAGCGGATTTGGCCTCGGGGCAGAGTTGAGCTTTGGCATGAGCTGGAATGAAGGAGATAGTGGTGGTGGAGGAGGTAGGAGGAAGAGGAGGAAGAGGAGGAGGAGGAGGAGGAGGAAGAGTATAGGTGGCTGGAGGGGCCTCCAGGGCAGAACAAAGAAGGTCAGGGTATGTGTGGTACTCTGCCATCGAGACAGTCCAGAAACACATTAAAGAAGTGTTTATCCCGCCGGTTAGAGCGAGCCGAACACGCCAGAGTGTTATTTATTCAGTTTAAGAGCGGGGGCGGATGAAGGGGGTTGATTTTTTCCTGCCACAAAGCCCCTCCTGTCCTGAGCTAAAACACACAGCAGCTCCGCATGCCTGCAGGTGGAAGCTCATTATTGCATCTCTTCACATGCATGAAGCCTGAAAGGTTTATTGAGACTAAATACAGCTGAGACTCGCTCAGTCACTCGCTTGCTGCCCGGTTGCATAACTCTGCAGCGCGTTGGGCAGCAATTGCGCAATTTTTCACGAGGAATGTGTAATAGGCTCTTGTGTGCTACAAGCCGCAGAATTCCAGCCTTTTAATGAAACCACGGATTGAGTAATTTCCAGCGGCCGATAGAGCAATGATTAATGTGTGGGGGAAGCCTGCTTTTATGAATCAGGGAGTCTCTTAAAGGGCCTCTGTGAGAGCCAGTGTAATAACCACAGGTGCACCTCGGAGCCTTTGTTCTCCTCGTAACAAATAAGATTCAGATTTGAGGTTTGAGACCCGCGACTCTGCGCAAACACGCCGAACACATGTTTGGTTTGAGGGCACTGGTAGTTGTGATTAGATGGTGTCAGGGTCTTTAACACCAGCCAAACAAATGGCTGAATATCAGACAGAAAAGCCTCCTTAGCTCATCTCTCCAAGGACCCGCAAGCGAGAAGCGGTTTAAAGTGTTTCTGGCTCTTTATGAGTCGGAGTTTAGCAGCGATGCAGAACATCTAAAAACAAGGGGATACTGGAAACGACATATGTTGAAGGAATCCTGTGACGGCGGCCACATGTGCAAATACCAGGAGGATAAAACTAGATAGAAACAGATTCATCCCTCGCGTCCATTCTTCTGGGAAGTACAAAAGCTTGGAGTCTGCTGCACCTGTAACCACTCCTCAGATTGACGTCACGCTGCTTTAGGGTACTTAAACATCACTACAACTGATTTTCGAGCCACATTTTCAAGAAATCCTTCACGCAACCATCGGTTTTCTGGAAGAATTCCTTCCCCAAATGCTGTCGAGGATATCGCTTCTGTGGACTGTTGTTGGACAAGATTGCAAGTTTTGGCACGAATGGCAGGAAAATGGAGGTTTGCAGGTGGACTGGAGCAACATCAGCAGTGATTCTGGCATTTTACCGTGATGAAGAGGGAGCTGAAGGTGAAGCTCTTGATTCATCAGTCAATCTATGTTCGAACTCTCGACCAAAAGACTGAGATTGTGGATACAAGCAGACAATTTTTTTTTTTTCCTCAAGGTGGTTGACTTCAGCCTTGGAGGTGGGAGGTCGGACATCTGGAGGGATCTCAAAGAGTTGGTGGTGGAGCCAGCTGAGGTTTGATTAGGATGCATCCTCTTGGGTACCTTCCTCTAGAGGTTTTCTCGGCCACTAGGCTCCAGGTTGAACCCAGAACTTGACTGAGGGATTACATATCTCATCTGGCCTGGGAACACCTCGGGTTCTCTTGTTGGGGGAGGGGGCCGTCTGCCAATCCAACCTTGAAAAGGGTACGAGGTGTGTCAGAGTCGTTGCTGCTTCACCATGACACCATGGTCAATCCAAACCAGTTTTATTTATATTGCACCAATTCATGATATATGACATCTCAGGGCACCTTATATTTTAAAATTATACAGAGAAGTTTGGCAAAAGTAGAAAGAAAAAACTCAACACAAGAAGCTTCTGGCAGAACCAGGTTGAGGGAGGCCGGCCGTCTGCCTCACTAGTCGGGGTGAGGGTAAAGGGGGGAGACAACAGGATAGCAGACGGACATCAAACAAGTAATACATAAGATAACAAATGGACATTTTGGAGATTGATGAAGTCAGTAACAGCAGATCAGATCCTGAAAAACCCACAAAGAGAACAAAACACAAACATTCACCTGCCTGGCTGAACCTGCTTCAACAGCAGCTGCTTTGCTTTAAGCTCTAACGTTCTCTCCTATTTAATGCTCTTGTTCGCCTTATACCACAAACACACTTGTCAAAACCAAGCAGGAGCCTCTGACACTGAAAATCAGATCAGGTTTATTGTCATGTTGCTGTACATACACAGTAGCACAGGCAAGATGAGAGAGTGTTTCTTCAGATTTATTTAATTAGTAAGTTTTGCAGAATGCACGTCTGGGATAGACAAGACACTCAAAACGTTCACTTTTGTTGTCCCCTGAAGGGGGCGCTGTGTCTATGCGCACCACCATCACCATGGCAACCCAAATGAACCAAATGAAGCCAACATCAAAGTGCCAAAAACAGTAAAACATGAGTTAAATCCTGTCGATGTAAAACAACCAACTTCACAGCAGAAACAAACATGTTTATGACCAACAACAGTTTTGGTGTCAATATATCATTTCCCCTCTCATGACAATTGTACAAGGGAGGAATTATTATATATACTGTGAAAGATGGATGTTTTTGTAAAAATTTTAGCAAACAAATTACTGTTAGTTTGCAGATTCTCTTTTGTTAAATTACAGATAGTAACTAGTATGTTGCTTGTGGGCTGCAAGGTGGTTCAGTGGTTAGCCTTGCTGCCTCGCAGCCAGAAGGTCGCCAGTTCACGTCCCGGTGAGGACACCCGGGATCATTCTGTGGAGTTTGCATGTTCTCCCTGTGCAGCGTGGGTTCTCTCCGGGTTCTCCGGCTTCCTCCCACACAGTCCACAAACATGTTGAGGTTAATTGGTGATTCTAAATTGTCCGTAGGTGTGAATGTGAGTGTGCTTGGTTGTCTGTCTCTAAGTGTAGCCCTGTGATAGACTGGTGACCTGTCCAGGGTGTCCCCTGCCTTCACCCTAAGTCAGCTGGGATAGACTCCAACCCTAGTGAGGATTAAGTGGTCTACAGATAATGGATGGTTGGATGATGTTTTTTAAATAGCTGAAAATGCCAGACTATTTCCAGACTGCTATTTTACAGATTTTCCATGTTTTGTTTGTAAATTACAGACAACATGAAGTAAAATCATAGGAAAAGGCATAAATATACTTTATTTATTCAAATATACTTCTTGCATCAGTGACCACTCCTAAGCACCTGTTACGTGCCTCTCTGGATGCCTTTAAAGGCATTTCAGAAGTCAGAGCTGGTTGAGGAAATTAAAACCCAGAC